GGTGGAGGGGGCATTGAGTGTGGGGGCCGTGGGGGGGCAGGGTGCTTGGGGGGGTGCAAGGAGCATTGGGATACAGGATGCGTTGGCTGTGGGGTGCGTGGAGGTGCAGGGAGCTTTGGGGTGCATGGGCAGTGAGGGGTGCAGGAAGCACTGGGGTGCAGAGCACATGTGTGAGGGTGCAGAGCTCAGCATGCTCAGGGCCCTTACAGGCACGGGGTGCAGGACACACTTTTGGCAGGAGGACAACCTGAGGGATACAGCGGCACAAAGAGCCTTACAGCAGAGCGAGACACCCGGGAGGAAGCAGAGGATGAGGAGCGGGGTGCATGAGCCCGGGCGTGCATCGTGACAGCAGTGGCGGGTGTCACTCACCATGCGCTGCCGTGGTCATGGTGAGCACGGTGGTGATGCCCAGCCCCACGCGCGCCGGCGCCGCCTCCATGTTGATCCAGAAGGAGACCCAGGAGAGGATGACGATGAGCAGGCTCGGGATGTACATCTGGATCAGGTAGTAGCCCATCTGCCGCTCCAGGTGGAACCTCACTTCGATGCAGGTGAACTGGCCTGCGGGGATGGAGCGGGTGCTGGGGGAGCTCCGGCCGGGCCGGGAGGCACCCAGTGTCCCCGTGTCCCCACGAGGGCTCACCTGTGTTGTAGTGCTTGGTGCAGTAGCCCAGGTCCTTCTCCTCGCGCAGGATGAACTGCGGCAGCGTCAAACCCTCGGCCACCTGCACGGCCTCCTGCTCCTCCAGCCACTCGAAGATGAGGTCGTTCATGGTGTAGCCAACTGCATGCGAGGGAGGGGGCAACGCTGGGAAAGGGGGGCCCCTTTCACCCCCCAACCCCAAATCTGGCTCCATCCCACTCCTTCCTGCAGCAGGGATGGCTCCAGAGCCGCCCGGGCACTCACAGCTCTCCAGCTGCATGGTGCACGTCTGGATATCCATGGGGAAGTTCTTGAGGTCCATGGGGCAGGAGAGGATCAGCGTCAGCCTGGATGGAGCAACGGGAGAGCAGGGTGTTGTGGAGGGACACAGGGAGGACAGAGCCCATCCCGTCCCCCCACAGGTCCCCGGTGGCCCCACCTGATGCTGTAGAGCACGTTGCCGTTCTTGAAGATGCGCAGCAGCTTGTTGTCAGTGGTGACCTCGTGGAAGTTGGCGCCTTTCTCGTTGGCGAAGAACAGGTCGGGCTTCCAGATGGAGTCGAGCATGGAGGGGTCGAGGTCGAGGGAGTCGTCGGGGTACTCGCGGTAAGCCAGGCGCGGGTCGTTCCACTGCTGCCGCAGGAAGACGTTCACGCGATAGTCCTGC